GCACTTTGTCTGGTTGCTATGGGTTACGTTTGGTTGCTATGGGTTACGTCACTTTGTAGATATTCCACCACATACAGTAGCGCAGTGCGTCAGTCCGATTCCTTACGATGGGGCGCGATGCTCTGCAGATTGTAGTATGTGTGATGCATGTGGTTGGTGGCGCTCAGTTGAGTCCATAGAGCTGCCATGGTAACAGGCGGAAGGGGCGGGGCTAGAGCGACGGACTAAGACGCCATGTTTGGTCTGTGTGCAGATGGCCGGCAGAGCCGGAGGAGATGTTTGGGAACAGCGACTCGGTGTACAGGCCGGGATTCTTCCCGCAGAGGCCGTGACCCCACCTGGTGGGAGGTGACAACGTGTGACACGTGTGTGTGTGTGTGTAGCATGATACGGGCGGGGTCATGTGACCAGAGGCGCAGGCAAAGTTCTTTGGATGGTCGCCATTTATCGGTTTATAACCTCCAGCCCGTCTGACCATCGCCAGGAAATGGCGGCATTGAGGCCACGCCCCTCGGCGCTGTTACAGTTTGTGTAGTGAACGCTGGAATCTGAGCGCGGCGGGGGAGGGTACAATCGTCCGGATCAGATCACCGCAAGTGACTAATGACTCCGCCCCCAAACGGTAATCACCGGCACATTCCATTTATAACCAGGCAGAATGGGGAGAGCGGCTCACCTGGCTACGGGAGGCGGGGTCACCTGGCTCTGTGGGTCACCTGGGTACCGGAGGCGGGGTCAGTAGTGGGTCACCTGGGTACCGGAGGCGGGGTCAGTAGTGGGTCACCTGGGTACTGGAGGCGGGGTCAGTAGTGGGTCACCTGGGTACCGGAGGCGGGGTCAGTAGTGGGTCACCTGGGTACCGGAGGCGGGGTCACTTCTGTGGGAGGAGTTGTCCAATGGCGGCCCGGTGATGTCAGAATGTTGAGCGGCCGCGATCCGGAATTCTGGAGATTCCCAAATTATTTCCACAAATCCTCGAAATGTAACCGGTGACAACAAAGATAATAATAACCCGCCCGGCAGGAAGGTGTCTCCCCGGAACTACCTGAGGGGGGCGATATGGGTAAGAGAAATAATGTCTCCGGTCTGAGCCGCGGTCCCATCATCTCCCAGTATAACCCAGTCTGGTCCCGGGGCCCCTCCTCCTCGGTGTCTGGGACCCCCGATGTACCCCCCCTGGGAGTGTGTGGGGGGCGGGGTCTGAGAATCGCTGATGTCCGGGGACAGAACAAAGATGGCGGCCGGGTGTCACATTGTGTCCAATGAGAGGGATCGGCCTCTATATGAGGGTCACATGACCACACTCCGGGGTTTGGATAACCTGACCCCGCCCCCTCACACGTTGTCACCCGGCGGGTACAGATTTCATGTGCGAGGACTCTGATTGGCTGATAACATTCTGGGAGCAGAAATACGAGAACACCAATCGGAGCTCCGCCTCTAATTGTAACCTGTTAGGATGGAGCGCGGGCTGCTGGAGATTTCCTGTCACAGGTGGAGACACAGGAAGTGATTAACTCCCCTCCCCCCCCCCAGGGGGCCAAACTCAGAGGTGACTCCACCCTGCTTCATGCACAGTAACACTGGAGGTGGGCGGAGTCAA